CGCTGCATTTGCCAATCGGCTTGTTGCTCCCTCACTGCGAGGAACAGCTAGCACGACTGTTTCTTGCCCTGGCTACCAAATGGTGGAACAAGCTCCCCATTGTCAGGACAGCAGAAAGTCTACACATCTTCCGCTGCAGGCTAAAAACACGTCTCTTCCAACTACACCTTGGATAAGACGATGATGGTCTGTTAACCATTGTCAACCATGATGTTGAAAAGGAAAAAAAAGTTAGTTGCACTTCTATATTGCTATTACATGTGGCACTTTGTAGTTTGGCTTTTTTTTAAACTAATGCACATTAAACCTGCGCTCACTTTACACTTTAACAATAAACACCATCACTGATCAAATGTTATTATGACACGTGCAGGACTGATTTTGTGTGTGTTTGATTCGCTCTAGAGTTTATGAGACACATGTTTAAACGTGCTACACAACGCAAGATGCAATGTGTTGCGCACAGTCAGAGCATCGGGGTTAAAGTGACCGGAACGATCCGGAGTAACTATTTTAGATTATAGGACTCTGTGGTGAATATCCCATTTGCCTATCAGTTTGTGTGTGAAGAGGGGCAGAGACGAGCACAGTCACGCACACACACACAAACCCAGTTTAGCCTAGTTTCAACCTGAAAGTCTTTTGTGTGTTGGGGTATTTCTACAACCTGTTGGACCCTGATCGGTGCTCAGTGTGTCCTCACTAAAATAGTACAATGTTATATGGCCAACAGGAATGTTGATGAAAACAATGTCTTAAAATATCTTTTACTTTGAATTTATTCTATCATTATATCAGTTTTGATAAAGAGTTTATATAATGAACTTCTGTCTGAATAAGGTTTCGAGGGTATTTCACTTTCAGAGCAGGAATGTTGGATTATATCCAAATTCTAATTTTGTCAGTTATGAAACATTTGAACTGGATTTGGATTTGAACCTAAACTCTAGCACACATGTAGATTATAATATGCAGTTTATGCACTCATCCAATTATATATATACATATATATATATATATATATATATATATATGTATAGAAAGTACATCATCATGTGCATTTGCATCTTACATGCAAGATACAATCTGGCATAGATGTTTTCAGCTTCTCACCCACCCACACACATTTATACAAACACACACACACACACACAAAGCCATGACGCAGGGCTGTCTCATTTCCTTATTTAACCAGAGCGGAGCAGCACAGAGCCAACAGTACTTTCCTGTCAAAGTGAATATGATCAATAAACACAGATAACAACAGAGGACAGGAGCATAGTTTTCCTCTGCCTCACTTTCTCCCTGCTCTGGTATGATCTCCCTCTCCTTCTCTATTTATCTAAGTTTCCACTGCGTCTGTTTTTCACAGTGAATCTGCCTCTTTTTCATCTCACACTCTCTGTTATAACACTGCCTCTCTCTGTTTATCCTTCTGTCTTTCTTCCTCTCTATATCTGTCTCAGTCTTTCAGTCTGACTGCTGAGGGATGGAGGCTGCAGCAAGATGTAGAATAGGTGTTTGTAAATCATCTTTCACATTGTTTCTCCATGACAAACAAGCCCCTGTGTGTATGTGCTTCACTTTGTTTGTGCGTCATGTGTCTGTTGTGTATGTGTGCATATGTGTGTGTCTAATATATGTGTTCTATTTGTATGTTTGTCTTTGTATGCTGTATGTGTTCAGATCTCACAATCTCAGCGTATGTGCGTGTTTGTGTGTTTGTGTGTATGGTCGTGTGTGCGTGTGTGCGTGTGTGTGTCTCGGGCCATCTGTTCTCTGTCGGGTCTGGTCCTGTCTCCCAGGGCTTTGTCTTCCTCTCAGTGTTCTGGGATCAAGAAGACAGACATGTAGCACAACTCCTCCTCAGATGCACTGTCCCCTATCCCCACTGTTTATTAGTGAGACCCATATGCCAGTGGTGATTGGAGGAGGGAATTTGAAATCTTCCCAGTGTCGCCTTCATAGTCACTGAGGAGTTTCATCTTCTCAACCGAGATCCATAACAAAATTCAGTAAAAAATGTAATCCATTCTAAAATGCGAGATTGAGTGTTGTTGCATTTTAATTTTCACTGTGAAAACATCCACAAAGAATCACATTGACAGGGAGAGATGAAGTCTTGGGACTAGCTATTGTATAAATTGAAAGTAGCATATTCCAAAAGGTGGCGCAGTGATTGACGCTGTCGCCTGACTCGTCTCACAGCAAGAAGGTTTCCTGTTCGAATCCTGGTTTGGCCAGTTGTGAATGGTTGTTTGTTTCTGTTTATTACAATACGCTAGTCCAGGGTGAACCCCGCCAGTGTCAGCTGGGATTGGCTCTAGCCACGAAGGATCTATTGATTAGTGGATTGATGGACAGAGTCGACTGAAAGCACCTGTACTCCGTTTGAGCTGTGAACTACAATAAGAGAGGTCAAACTGTAGTTGCCAGTGATAATACACCAAGGAAACAGCAGCAGTGACACCAGAATGCTTTTTAATCTGGGCTGTTGAAAAAAGGTTTATTTCCACTGTTTTTCCAGGTGCAAAGTACAAGTATTAACTAATAGTAGGATGTATATTATGGGAAGGAATTTGAACAGACTACACAGTAGCATGTTGTAGGTTCTCTCTCTGAACTCTGCTTACTCTGCTATCAACCTCCTGTTTTCTTGACACTTCCTCACTGTCTTTTTTCCCCTCCGTCACCTACTCCCTCCCTCTGAGCTTTCCAGACTCCTGCAGAGACATGCTGCGTCATGGAAACGACCATAGCGTGCGTGCGTGTGTGCGTGCGTGTGTGCGTAGTGGATGGCTGGTGTTACAGCCACCCCAGCAGCCTCCTGCCGTCCTGCTTGGCAGATTATTACAGGCTGTGAAGATTTATTATGTGGAGGCTGGAAAGACAGTGGAGGAAAAAAGACAAGAACAAGGATTAGACCTCAAAAATATGTGTGCACACTTATTTGTGTATTTCTTAATGTGTTTTGTGTGTGAAGTCTTTTGTCAACATCATTGATATTTCTGATCATGTTTGAAAGGAGCTTTGAGGCAGTTGGTTCTCAGAGGATGTGACCGTGTTGTTGTGTCCTCATGCAGAGTTTAATGATTGTTTCTGGCTAAATACGAAAACTATTATTTTTCCATATGAAACCCTCTGGAGTTTTAGATCTGATTTTGCTGCACATTAAATTTTGCCAGCTGCTTTACCAACAAGGAACATTTAACTTTACTGTCTACTGAAAATGTTCACAGTGTTTGTGTTGTTGTGAGCGTTAGTTCTTCATGGAAATAAGAGAGCTTGACCTGCTGGTTTTAGTTTTGATAATTGTGATCATGTGTGGAGGTCTCACTGTTATCATCCTCTTTAACTGCAAAGACAGATTCTTACCAAATGAAGGACCCATGTCTTAGATGCATCTATCCAGAGTTTTTAAATTCATAAAGCAAACAAACATTATAAACTCTTCTGTGCATTTAGAAAAAATGCAAGGTGGTGCAATAGATTGCAAAGTCATTGGAAAGATGCAATTAGACACAAATTCTTCAGGGGCAAGTGAAGATAAGATAAAAAAGTAGAGTTTCTGCTGAGTGTTGAGTTCAGTCAGAGGCTAAACACAAACACACACAAACTTCCACACACTCAGTTGTGTGTCTGTTGCTGGTTGCTATTTATTGCAGATTTGCACATTAACTTCCCATCGTTCAGGTTGGGCACTGGTAGATGGTTCACTTTCAGAAATTAGTCCAAAGTAGTTTTTATTCACTTTTAAATATTGAATCTATTCATCATAACTTGAGTTTCATTTTTTATTTAAGTTCTCTAAAGCTGAACTATGATTCATCTTAAAAGGTTTCAGAAATATTCACATGCAAAAAGTGGACTGCTGGATATTGACCCATGTGAACTACCTTTAACTGAAAAAATTATATATTCATACATCTAAGTGTTAGATGATGTAAAGATGTGGGCACCAAGCCTCACTGTTTACTGCATTGTGTTTGTCCGGGTGAGAAAGACTCAAATGTCACAGACATGCTCACAGCACTGTGGCAGCACTTTCACTGCCCACAACGATACAAAAGGACCCATGAAAATCTCCTAATTACACACAAACACCCACATACATTTAAAAGCACGGAGCTTTGTCTGCAGCCTCCCACACACACACACACACACACACACACACACACACACACATACTGAACACACACTTACTCAGCTCTCAGTCCCAGGCTGTTACAGTCCTGTACAAAGGAAACAGAGCTTTCTGCTGTAAAATTACTTTAATGTACATTTTCATTATTGTTGAAGCCAACATGTTTGGATTTGGAGCTCATTCAGAAACACATATCACTGACAATATGGACGGCTATAATCCAGCTATTGACCTTATTCTGAATGAGACATTATTTTGATTATGACATTGACATGAGTTTCTAAGAGTATTCCCATTTACATGGGACAGAGTAGGGTATATGTTGATGTCGCAAAATACTGTGAGAAGTTTTATTTTCCTTATTGTGAGATTTTTGAACAAAAACGATTTATGATATTACTGATACAGCGTCACTTACCCGCAAATGTTCGGATTGATGACAGTGGGCAGGTTTTATTCATCAGTCAAGACGGAATTATTTAGTTTTTGACTGATGTGACAATTGTTTAATAATAATCTGTTGACTGAACTGAACCTGACTCAACAGAATCGAGGGGTTTCAAGTGTTACCTTGGTGCTCTTTTTCTAGGAATGCTCTTTAGTCTTTAAGACAGTTCCCTTCAATGTCACTTTTAGAGAAAATCTTTTCTTTATATATTATTAATTTATGAAAAATGTGCTGCTCCCCTCACCTATCTGCTTTGTCTTTCTCCATCTTCTCCATCTCTCTTCCCTTCATCTTTCTCATTTCTATCCCATCTCTCACCTGTCTGACATCACCGCTCACTCTCTCTCTTTTCCTTGATATCATCCCATCTCCTCTCCCCTGCATCCTCCTCCCTCACCCTTTCTTCAGGTTTGTCAAAGTCCTTCCCCCTGGACAACTCCTTGTTCGACAGCTGGCTCGCCCAGTCGGTTCAGATCACCGCTGATGACATGCTGAGCCAGTGGGCTCTGGGTGCCCAGCACGGGGACAAGAGCGGCAGCCTGCTCTCCGACCAGGTAGGGCTTCAGTGGCAGGAGGCCTGGAGGATGATGAATTAGCTGTTATGTTATGATCCTGATACACAGTGACAGATTTTTGACTTTTTCAATATTTTAAAAAGTGGTCAACAAGTTTGGTTGGGCTCCAGTAGAAGTAGAGGATCAGAATAGTTAACAAGAATCATATTGGATGTGTTCTGGCTCTTGGCGATGATTGAAGCAAAAGGCTAAAACCAGCAGCAGCAGCAGCAGCAAACGCTCTGTCACCTCTTGAAGTGAATCTGAGTCACAAACATAATGTCAGGAGCCAACTATCCTGCCCACAGACCTGACTGACATGGACGTCCAAAGTTACATAAAGTTGTTGGTCCAAAAGTTGTTCTCAGTCCAGGAAAGGGGCAAAATCTCTACAACACTGATATGTGTAAAAGTAGAAAGAATGTGAAGGCGAGGTGTTTTTTTCAAAAAGTAACTGCAGCAAACAGATATTACACACTAAGTCTTCAAATGTCAATGCACCGTTTTTATGTTATCAACTTAGAAAATAGAAAAAAACAAAACAAACGTCAGTACTTTGTGAGCTTTTCCATCAAGGCTCATTGATCCAGCAGCCAGTGCAGCATTGGAGCACAGTATTGATGTATCAGGTATTCAATTTCTAATGTTAACCCGGCTGAAGAATTTAATATGAGTGTTTTGTAACAAAGTTTTGAGCCATTTGCCCTGTGATGTCAAAAAAGGCAGTAAGCTATCACAGGCACGTCCTTTTTTTGTTGCAGTACATTAGTAAGTATAATGAAGTACTACAAGAGCCACAAAATGACAGAGAAAGATTACGGCTCCAAAGTCATTACCTTTTATGTAGAATTATTAAATCCTGTGTCACCACCTTTAGATTGGATCTCATAAGGTTGACACAATAACAACGTTTTTGACATTGATACGATACAAGTACAAAAAATTATACTCAATAGATAAAAAGAAAAAGGTTCTGTTGTGCATTATTGTTCATGTAATTATTTTCTTCGAAGCAATACATATTTATTTATTTCATGAATTAACCAGTACAAGGAATGAATGCACAAAAAAACTGTCTAGAGCATTATGTAAAAAGTTGAGGATCAGTTGATTTTCCTCTGTGCTCTTTCTTTAATGCAGCCTAGTGTTAAAAGTGATTCTAGATCTGCTTTGGCACTTTTCAAAACTGTCGACAGAGAGTGCATCGTGGTATCAAAGTATCTATACTTTTGTCAACCCTTGATCTTTACATGGAGGTTGGTGTTGTGTGTGAGATCTGCTCCGTTGTTTGTCGATAAGTTGGAAGCGAGAGCTGCTGGTCAGAGCGGAGCTGCACTGTGGCTGACCCGCTGTTCTCCTCAGGAATTTGTTCTGTTTGTGTATCGATTGGCAGGAGGCTCCGACCACATTACATGACATAACTCCCATTGTTTGGAAATGTGTCACAGAACAAAAAACAAACCAGAATCAGGAACATGGTCATTTTTCAGTAAAGCAGACAGAGATGTTGATACTTGATATGCTTAAAAGACAATCTGCAAAAATAAACAGATCTTCAATTTATCACAGACAATTATCAAATGCTACAGGTTTTATTTATGTTTTCTTGTCACATAGTATTAAACCACTTTTTATGGGATATTCATATTACTCAACAAATGTGGCATTAATTCCTCATATGTGAGTTTGTGGGTAATTCCTGTTCCAAAATATTACAGATAAGAATTTGATCTTTTAAATGAGAAATCCCAGCAACGTGCACATTTTATTTGATCTATGAGCAATTTTTTCCAAAGCAATACATGTATTATTGAGTCTTTAAAACTGAACTGATTTAGCTGTTTTCTTCTCATCTTCCTCACTCTGATCCATTCTCCTTTTTATTCATCTCATCACATCTCCCCCATCTTCAATGCATTTCCATCTTTCCATACATCACCTCTCATATTTTCCCCCTCTCATGCAGCTCCTGCAGGGCGAGGAGAGCCTATTAAACCTTATGATGGAGAACTCCATGCAGTCCACCTGGAAAACTCCCCAGCTGGGCCGCAAACGGGGAACCAACAAGCCCCGTGCTCGTGGACAACTTCCCACCCCCGCGCAGCCGCAGACGCCCCTCTCGGCGGCAGCCATCTCCACCGCCAGCAGCCCCTCCACTGCAAAAAGCCTCCGGGTGAGCGTGGCGGAGGATAATCCTAGCCTTGTGAGCCGGAGAGGGGAGAGGTCCAAGGGTTCCTCCAAGGCACTGCACCACCACCACCTTCATCACCATCACCACACCAGGAGCTCTGACCTGCAGGGGGACCCACCACCACAGCCACCCATCTCCAAAATGGATTCCTGTCACATCTCGGAGGACCCCGGCCCCTGGGACAGCATCGCCGCGGGGAATGATGTCGCATCAGGAGCTGGAGCTGTTTTCCCTACGGGTTCATCTCCACTTCCAGCCTCCAGCCCCGGGCTCACGGTTCCTGACACAGGGGCTGTCCTTTGTGGGAGGGCTCCTCGGCTCCGTCTGCCCCGCCACGGCAAATCAAGAGGCAGGGGCGTCAACGGAGGTGGAGGCGTAGAGGCACTGGAGTCCATTGAACTGCCGCTCAGGGACACGTCCTTGCTGGATGCCACCGAGACTGATGGGTACTTCTCTGACGGCGAGCAGAGCGATTCGGACACACGCTCTGGCGGACGCAAACTCCGCTTGCCACAGTTGCATTCTGGGAACGAGGACCTGTTGAGAAGGAGCGTGCTGGCATCTTAAAGAACTGAGACTTAAATCAACACACACACAAACACACAGTTACCCGAGTCCCGCTGGCTAATTGTTTCTCCATCTGTGCCCAGTGTGCCGTCGTCAAAACATGGCTGGATGGCTTCATTCAACCAAATCCCGGTCACATCTACCAATCAGAAAATCTCTTCAGCTCACCTGCTTTGTTTTTTGGGGGGAAATTTGAATGTAGCTGTTTGCCTGACGTACATTAGAGCTTCTCCACTGGACCATAGTTTGTTGTTCGATAACCATAAGACGCGACATATTCAACAAATAGGAAACAAAAATTACATTCAGTCATTTTGTTTCTGGGTGTTGAAGTACCCTGTTCTGGCCTCATGTCTGTGGAATCTGTCAAAACAAACACTTTGGGGCATTATTATTAATTGTTATTATTCAAGCTGGTTTCAGGGTCTCCATCTTGTTTGGTCTTTTATGGCCTGAGAAACATCCTACAAGTCCTTGTTGGGGACAATGGAGACAATTTCACACCAGACTTGTGTGTGTGATGGTGACACCAGACAACACGTATCCAACCTTGAAAAGCACAACTAGCTTGTCATCAGAGCTGTATTTTAAGCATTCGTGTGGGTAATGGATGCTGCTTCAGGGTTGGGGTCAGTTCTCATCACAGCCACTCCGTTTCAAAAAGTAACTTTATAAGATTTCCCTCAAAATTTTCAGATTTCCAGGATTTGAATATTAAACAGATCGGCCTCAACCCTGGGTCTCATTCAGATCGCCACACGAAGACGCAAACACACAGATGCACACATACTGACACACAAACTTACTCAAAGCCAATCCCTTTGCTCACAGCACAGAAAATATTGGCTCTGACTTCTGTCGGCTGCTTTCAAATTCTTCCTGGTTCTGTGTTCATTTATTTTTTTTATTTCAGCCCGAATCTTTGGAGAAAAAAAAATCTTTGTAGAAACTCTGTGCCTTCTGTCGCTCGCCCTGTGCCCCCCCGCCCCTTCCCCCCGAAACCCCCAATTTCTCAATCAGTCAACCAAACAATCAATAGGTAGATCAATTTTTCAATCGGATTTGTAACAATCAAAACCAAAAGGTAATCCAGTCGGATTGGTTACCGAGCGTGGCCAGCTCCTTGTCACCTTAACAATTGCCTAGTGCCTGAACCGAGGATGTGAATGCAGCGTTTGCCATTAATCAACAAAGCGTCTGTGACAGTTATCAAAGCAGAGCCACAACTGTGCTATCGGTGCAAAGAGATGCCTACTGTTCTATGCCCCCACAACTAGATCACTGCAGGTCAGAGCCATCGATGAGCAGAGTTTGGCCCGGTTACAGATTCCCGATGTAAACCAAATGTTTAATGGATTGGAGGCAAAGCAAATTGTTATCAATGTGTTCTGACTCCTCTGCTAGAAGTCAGTAATTCGTCCTTTATTTAAATCACATGTGGAAAAATGCCAAATTTTGAGGAAAATATAAATCAGGAGCAGAAACAAACAAAACTGGAGAAAACATAGATTTAACTCAACGTAAGCTTTCTTGAAGTTTTCATCCACATCACACAGTCTTGAAAAGTAGGAACTAATCTTAGCATCTACAAAATCGACCTTTGTCTCATTCATAAACTGATGAGTTAACACGGGCATCCAGGCTTCAAACTGCAGCTTCCAGGCATCAAGAGAAACAAATGATACTTCAGTGATTTATCTTCTTGATGTAGTACGATGCCCAAAACTGACTCATTCAACGTTGCCTCCACTGACGTCTGCCGTGGCCACGCTCTCGTCACCGATGGCTCTGCTGCACCTTCTCCTCCTGTTCGCCGAACGATGACAATGTAATGATCAGCTTCAGAAGCCTGCGCTCTTATGTTCAGAAATTGAGTTCTTTGTAAATTAGTTTCTTTTTTTTTCTTTTTTTTTTTTTATAGGTTTTTGTTGTTCTCTCAGAGAGTTGTATTTTGTACTTAAGCAGTCCATGGTATTTCTCAGGGGTTAAAAACAACTTTTAAAAAGAAGAATTAAGGCTTAAAAAATGTATCGAAAAAGCGACGCAAGGCGAAGATACATATATATACATATTTTATAACATATACAATATATATATATATAGTGATGTGTATGTGTCTTGAAACTTCCTTATTTGGCAAGCTTCACTGTTTGAACTCCTACATGACTACTACTGAGCATGCTCCCTCTCTCAGTGTGACCATATGACCATCAGCCCTGGGTTTAATAGTCTCAACCAATAATCAAAGCTCATTTTAACTTCATTACCAGATGAGCGGGACATGTCGGATAACATTGGCTTGGTGGTCAACTACAAGATGGAACCGTGTAATTGCTTCTCTCGCTGTTCTCGCAGCGAAGACCCAAACTCATACGGGGCCAAATTGAGTGAAATCAGAAATCGAAAGGGCTGCTTTACCCAGGTCTGATGAACAGTTTAAATAGAGGTGCAGGTCCAATGTACTTCCTCTGTTGTTTTCTGTTTGGACACCTTCTCACCTGTCCTCTGAAGTGACCACGCCAAAGAACAGATCTGTGCATCAAAGCAGCACATATTGCATCTTATCTCCACAAACACACATGCACGTGCTCCGACTCTGGTTTTCAAGATGAAGAATGTTAGATAAGGATGTCAAGACAACTCTGCCAGCGCTCTCTGGGTCGGCTCGGGTTTTAATTCGGTTTCCTCGACCTGGTCCGCCCCAGGGTTTGAAACACTGAAGGCACGGTGTTGTGGTGTGAACCCTTTTACTGGCACTGTTGGTTCTGCTGCACCACCACCAATACACCTGACCTGGATTCTCCCATGTTCTGCGTTCACAGGGGGCTTCGCACAGGAAAAGCCCTTCACACCACAATGGGCCGCAATGGTTGCTGAAACACTCGCACGTTAAACACCCTTCAGAAAAAAGCCAAATGCTGCTGAACTGAACACACAACATACAGCTTACACACACACAGACACACAACCAGAGCTGGTATAACAGGGTTATAATGTACAAGATGAATAGTTTTTTATGTATATGTGGTCCTGACTGCATCAGGAAGTATGAGCTTACTCAGAGTGCAACGCCCCCTATCAGCAGGAGAGTATTACTACAGGTGACAGCGCAGTGTCCCTGTCTCCTTTGTCCTTCAGGTGTAGCCATCGCAGAAGATTCACACCGTTAGTCTGCCATTTTTCTCTTTTTCAACACAGATGCAGACACAAATCTGTAAAAGTCCTCCTCTGAGTTGCAGGGTTGGAAATTAAGTTTTGTCTAAAGCAAACAAATTTTTATAACGGCATGAATACAGGAACAGGTGGACGATTTTGAATTTCTGCGTTGGCTACCTCTATTACAATCCGCATGGAAACTGACCATAAAAATTACCGCTACAATGCTCGTGTTTGAAAAGCGAGGAAATGGTTTAGTGTCATTACGGCGCCACGTGGTCCTCCGCCAGGTGGTTAATACCGTTCTTGTGTTAATAGGACAGACAAATGTAATACTGGTCTCAATATTCAATGTTCAGAAGTAGCCTGACTTTGTAGACAAGGCCTCACATGTATGGCCTAGCACGTAGTAGCCAATGCCAAGGCTGCACAGTGCTGGCACAAAAGAAAAAAAAAAAAAAAAGACTTAATTTCCTCTGCAGAAATTTGTGTGGGTGGTTAGGTGAGTTAGACTTGCTGCTTCTCCAGATTCTCTCTTGTTTGAAAGTCAGAGAACAGCATCGTTGTACCTTCTCTGGCAAATTGCCGTTTAGATAATTGCAGCTCTGATTTTTCTTTTCCTAGATATTGTGCAGCCTTAGCAAACACAAACTGGTTATTATTCTGTATTTACAGTGTGGCTTCAATGCCCTCTCCTTCCGCTTCGTAGATACTGTAGACTGGAGTCTTTTTGCAGGTTCTTTTTTTTTTCTATCAATATCCAATAGAACAACTGTCATCTGTGTGGTACACTGGTGTGGGTGTTGGCTCACAGCCCGAAATGTGCTGTGGTGATCTTTGAATTTTGCAACTCTGTCACAATAACCACGGGATATTTGATCTATTTCTTTTCTCTCTTTTTTACATTTAATCTGTAATATAATATGTAATATGTCGGTATCAGCAGAAAATCTGTTTTCCATTTTCTGCACCATCTCACTATTTGGATTTCATGGTTAAAGTGGCAAGTCTCAAAGATTTCAGTCCTGGTTAATTTGGCGACACCTGTCATTGCTGGTGGTAACAGCAGATTAAGTTTCATTGTGAATCTCAGAAAAGCGAACTATTTGTATATGCAGTTTTAAGGATTGATGGGCTGTACGCTCACTGACAAACACCATGCCCTCCACTGGATTACTTCATAATAAAACCCACCTCATGTTTGGTCAGTTAAATGCTTTTAATGTGAAGCTGCTGCTACAGGAAATAAAGATAATTTAATTTAAAACAGCATTTTCTCAGTGACCTACTTCATAATGCTCCAAATCTATCAATATAGATTCTTCAAATATATACAAATTCGATGATAGTGACTTAACAGACATTTACTTTAACTCCCCCTTTGGTGAAAATCAAGTTTTTAAACATATAAACATGTCCCCTATGTGCATTTCATATGATAGAAGATATATTTTGAATTAGATACGCCCTCAACACCATGTACTGTAGTAAACAAATGCCAATCTGAAAAAAAACACATTCGCACAGCCAGGGTTTGTGATGTCACAAACTTAAGAACCCAATCCTGTCAACTTGTGGGTGGAGCTTAGTAGCTGGAAAATGCTCTGGGAGCAGGATCACATTAGGAATTCCTGGTGTTCCATTCGGGGAACGAAAGGAAGGTGAAGAGTTACGTTTAAGCAATTTGAAGACCACGAGGAAACGTTTTTCCAAAATATACTTCTATAGAACAAATGTTACAAGCTACTGGAGAAGGACTTCAAATGAAAATCCTCGAGACTGCCACTTTGAGATATTGTTGGTAATGGATAAAGACAGGACTTCAAAGTTCTCTAAATAGTGAGCTGGTGCATGGGTCAGAAATAAAACTCTCCCCCAGGTGTTGGCATGAATGTGACATCACAGAAATAAGCTGGTGGGCACAGTGCGTGTAATGGCAGTTCAGAAACACACAACTACACACGGCCACGAATTTCTCGACTTCAGCTGAAAAGCTGGTCAAAGGCCAGCGCTGATTGCTGCAGGTAATTGGAACATGGCCCGCAATTCACACAGCAGCCATCGACCGCACTGACAGTGTTGTAGAATTTCTTGGAAAGACATCACTGCACTGGCCGGGCTGGGTTCCTCACAACTTCCTCAGCTGCGCAAACATCATGTTGAAAGCTTTGTATAAGCAGGGAGGTAGTTCATCCTCCAATAACATGAGGAACTTGGAAACGTTGTACAAGACAATTTGTGCTCGGTTTGAGCTAAGAAATGAAAACGGATCATTAAATTCCGGGTGGATGAATGAGTAAGATTTTCTCTATTTGAAGACAGAGAGTGATGTTTGCTCAGCTGTGGTTTGGGGGAATCAGAAGGGCATCAGAATGCTGTTAATACAATATCTCTCTTCCTCTGTTGTTGCCCTTTCTGCCAATTAAAGTGGTTTGAGGCTGTCGTCAGGTCAGTGAAGCCAGGATTGGCCAGTGGTTCAAAATGGAATTTCACGCCCCAACTGTCTCCGACCGGGTTTAAAAGAATTTTCTGGCAAAGTGGGAGTTCAATTTAAAGAAGTCTGGGAACACAAAAAAAGTCATATAATCTGGAATAGATATATTAATGAAATTCAAATGACGTTATGTGGTCGAGACCCAATTACAGTCCTCGCTTTATTGTCCTACGCCAGCCGTGCAAACCCACCCACTTACCTGCCTACTGCTGGAGTTTATATACATCTACAATAATGTACAATACTGTTCAACTACTACTACTACTACTACTACTACTACTAGAGAAATTTTAATTTTCCGTCTTTTGAAAAAGCCTTTGCAAGCTGTTACATTTATTTTTCTTTTGTAATGCTATAGCTGGCCACCGTGGCTTGTATCAAACTAGAAATCTGACTCATTACCTGCTTCCTCTGTTTTGTTTGTTTCAGGTTTTTTTTTTTTACTGGCGCTTTGCTTTCCTCTCTGTTACAGCAAAGTTATGGCTTCAAGGTCTCAACATCCACACACTGCACAGATTGTAGGTTTAGTCGTATGAACACGTCTTGCAGGCGGAGCTGCTGTGGAGGCAGAAACAAGCTTGTGGGGTTTAATGTAAACTGGTGAAGTCAAAGAACCACAGCCGTGTTGGGTGGTTGCGTTAGTACAGTCAGTTTGAACCTGAAAGATCAGTTTGACAAAGTAGATAAAGTGCAAGGTTTAAAACCATATATGAGAATTTCTTTATGTTGTATAAAAAGCCTGGACCACATTTTGTTTTGGGGTAAAAAGCAGATTTCAAGATTTGGAATGATTTGTTGATTAACCCTCTACGTGTATTCTGCAGCCGGGATATTCTGCAGCCCTCAGAAGTTAGCCGTATAGCTAAGGAATGGATAGATGGAAATTATTATTATTTTGAAGTACAAGCCTTTATTGTTCACTGAATGTAAAGAGAAGACAGGAAAGAGAAGAGAAGAGACAGACGGGTAATACCATTCAGCAAAGGTCAAGAGCAGGCCATGAAAGAAGAATCTTGTGGTTCATGTTCATCCCTGAGACTAAATCGTAGATCAAGTGTACGCCCTAAACTACCAGTTTCCCCTTCTGCCAATTTCTAAGAAACACGTAAATCACAGGAAGCCTGCGACGAGCCTGCCAAGGTTGCTAACGATTAATCCTTCTGTCTGTTAAATGTGAAACATGTTTTCAGAGCCGTCTTCAAATGTGAAGTTTCATCCGACCAAGAGTTGAAAATGCAAACATTTTCACTGTGGGAGTACAGCAGCAGGAACCAGAGAATATCTGCACATTTCTTCACTCAAGTTAAGAACGAACTGATTGTTATC